TATTTAAAATAAGAGGAGTACTCATAAAATAATTTTAATTATAGTCCTTTACTATAAAAATATTCTTTGATAATAGTAAAATTTAAAAACCAAATTTAAATGTTTTTTAAAAAAATAATATATTTATTTCAAATACGAATATATTTAAACACCAACCAAAAGGAATACTTAACTTATAATAATAAACATTTCCTTATTTATGTCATTCTTATAAATATTAAAAAATAAACCATTTTTTCCTGAATCTGTAGATTTATCTTAGTGTGAAAGGCATTAGAAGATAACGTAAATGTCTTAGTAACATATCCGGTTTTATTGCTCGTTTGCTTTGCTGTTTGTGTTGGTATTGCCCCTGACTTGCGTCGTCTGTTTGCTACTTTGTCTCATTAAACATTTCAAAAGCGACACATAGTACACATTACACACATCACAGTATCAAATGTGTAAAGCAAATGAAGCGTAGTCAGTATATGTGAGTTACCAACCTCTTTCAGCAAGGAAAACTAATTATACTGTTAAATGCGTTTGTTTAACGGCCAATTTAATTAAGGTTATGCGTTTGTTCTGCCCAATCCCTAATCTGCCAGCTGAGCTTGTCCGACGACCGACCGCTACCGTTTTCCCAAAAATTGTTCCAACATTTATGCAATTACAAAAGTTGCCCCGCCCCTGCCCTCGTCTCTTCACACCGCACATGAAAGTTGCGGCTGCAACGCGGTTGCAAGGGTTAAGGTCTGGGGCTTAGGGGGTTAAGAGGTCAGCTGTGGGCAGCAGCCATTGCCTAAAACGCAACGCGACAGCATGAAAATTATGTAAAATAAGTACAATGTGCATTTGCACTTAGCCGAGCGTGCACAGTGGCAGCGAAAAGTTTTCTCATTTGCGCAAAGTGAATCAGAATATTAGCTCGAAAAATTCCACATGAGTACGTACGGGCAAATTATATGACATTAACTAAAATGTTAAAAGCCGATTATGAAATAGAGTGCAAGTAAATTACTATGATCGAATTAAGAAGTGAACCATAAATTATATTGAAAATATAAGTGCCTTTTCAAAATTGTTTTCAGCTTGTTCTGAGAACTGAAAGTAATACCATAGTTATTAACCTTTTAATAAGTTAGTATAAATATTTCAGAAAAATCAGGTAAAATCATTATATAAGTACTTTAGTCACATTTAATAGTTGTATATTACATTTTTGGCAAAAGTTATTCAACCCTTGAACTTATGCAGGAAACTCGCTGGCATGCAAATTTAAACTGGCTCCCATTGTTGTGTTTTTGCATTGAGAATTTGGCTTTCGACCAAGCCGAACAAAAAAATAATCGTGTGACAACAGCAATTACAATTACACATGGCACACAGCACATGGGACCTAGTGGTTGCAGTTGTAGTTGTTATCCTTATTGTTGTTCTGTAGTTGTGGTTAGAGTTGCTGCAACAGCAGCATGCAGCATATTCCAAAATAACTACGAGAAGGGCAACTTGGGGTCCACAGCATCGACGATGCCAACGAATATGAACATGTAATTACGTTTTAAGTGCTAAATTGTAAAATATTTACGTAAAAACTATGTTAACTTAATTGAAATTTAATTGAATGTGTCATAAATGTGTGAACAACAGCACGAGCAACATGAGCAGCATGAGCACGGCAGCAACATGGCCGACAAACTGTTGGTCAATGCGGTTAGCAGTCAGCAATCAGGATAGCCCCATGATCTGGCATTTGGGGTTGGGGAAAAGATGGAGGGGGTGTGGTCGGGCTTCGGCGAAAACTTGGCATTTAAATGCTTTCGACCAGCGTGGAACGCAAAGCCGCGAGGCATTTATCATTCGGGGCGGCCTTTGCTTTTGTTGTTGGTTTCGTGTGCTGCCACTAATAATGACGTCAGCAGCATGCAGACCATGAAATTTATGCACATCGAGCTCGAGTGTATGTGTGTATGTGCAGGAGAGCCTATTCTGTATGTGCCTATATTGCGACGGCGAACAGAATTCGACAGAATCGGCCGAAACGTTGGGTCAGTGCCATGAAGATTAATGTCCGGGCGCCATTTGTGCGGATTCCCAGTTTTCGGTTCCTTTTATTACACAGAACAAAAAAATGGATTTTTGAAATGTTTGCGAAATATTTTATTTTATACATCTCTTTATGCGCCATGGTCACACTGCTCCATTTGTAACCCAGAATGGGCACATTTTTTTCAATTTACTTATTTTCAAATATCCTGCATTCATTTCTTTGAACGTACATATTTGGTTCTTTTTTAAATTAATGAAATTAAGTTTCGGTCGAATTTTTTTTCTATGTAAAGGCTTTATTGTGCTGGAAAATAGTAAAGGCAGAATTTACTGGCATTGCTGCTCAGTTTACTCGCCCTTCGTTTTCGTGTTCTTTGTTTTATTTGCCGCTTTCCCTCTGGGAACCCCAACCCCCGATCCTATTTCCAGCTTCTGCAAATACTGTTGGCACTTTGTCTTAATTGCTTAAAAATTACTGACATGGAAAATGAACTCGGAAAATGTTAACCATTCCCCCCACTGTCCCAGCATCATCGCATTGTCAACGATTTGGCTGCCCTAACGGCAAATACTTGCAAATATTATTGTAGCCGAATGTCGGCAACTATTTATCATCCAGTTTGCTCGCCCTGAGTCGGCGGGGACCATTTGACAAACTTAATTTATTAATGCACTGCTCCCATCTCGTTTGGCCCTGCTGTAAATGCCTGCTGCCTGCTTAAAAGCACATTAATTTTCATTTCGTTGGGTGATAAAACAAAGACTTTCCATTTTAAATATCTAGTGACAACTAACAAATAAAATGTGCCCCTAAGTCCTCTCCGGGTAATTGTTTCCCCAACTCCTCCGGATGGCCCCAAAAGTCTGGACCTGAGCCTGAGCCGGGGGCCTTTTATCTTGACGATGATGTGGCACTCGGGCAAATCATCATCGCTGCTGTCATGCCTCGTCATTTGCATACTTGCCAGCAGAAATGGAAGTGGTCCCCCGCTCCACGGAATCAGAATACCCAATCATAATGTGAAGTGGGACTTGGGCTTTCTTTCGTTTTGGTGTCCAGCTGACAGGCGAGTGGTGTTTGCGAGGTGCCAAAGATAGGGCAAGTCTCTTATGTCGGAATGTTAAAGCCCCCGCTTCGGCTGATTGATATGCATGCGAAATCTAAGCATCACTTGGCTTTGTTTATTGACAGGCAATTTGCGGAGCCAGCGCTTCAATTTGCCAATTGACAGCCACATCACAGGGCATCAGCGGGCTTTTTCGGGGATATTTCTTTCATACCTGACCACCGCGCGACCAAACAGTGCTCAAAAGAATTGTTTTCAAAGTTCAATTAAATTTAAAAGCCAATTAGAGGTTGAAAATAAATTTCCCAAATGCGGTGCGCCATTTTGAAGCATTTGAATGCATTAATTAGTCACAACAACAAATACCGATTTCTCTCTTTGCATTCGTCCACAGAAAAAAATTAATAGGACAAAATAAATATTATACAATTTGATATCCACTTATTTTATGCCATATATTAATTTTATTTAAAAAATTATGAAGTTAAAATTATTATTTAAAAACATTCTAAAACGCTTATTATATTAATTGTATTTATAGGCATATACAAAAAGCATAAAGGCTATAAAAAAATTATCAAAAGTATAATTTACAAAATTAAATATAATTATACAAGTTTTAAGGACAATATTTTGTTTGCCTGCAGGTGGTTCAATTTTAATGAGTCGACCCCGGCATATTGCGTATACGCCACGTTGCAGCGGGAAAGAAAGCGATTTGCATTATTTATGGCTCGACTGGTCGGTCAGTGGCTCTAATTGAAACCGCCAAATAATTGGCCCGCATCGACCTGCAGCTAAGCCAATTAATGGCGACCATATAATTTCAGCTCATGCGGGAATTGGCCAACGGCAGCTGGAAGCTCGCAGGTCGGAGCCCAGTTCTAATAAAATCAAATTACCCGGTCAAGTGCAGCGAACATTTTGGAAATTACAATGTCCAGGGGGAACGGGGGCGTGGCCTTTGCATTTGAGTGTTCATTAAACACACAACAACGGGCAAAAGTGTCACGGGTCGGAGCCATTCAGACTGCATTACGTATACGCCGTGCGGGCCGATTGGAAAATTGCGCCAATCTTGCTGCTAAGTGGCCATAAAACTGCCAGCCAGGACAACTATATTTCCACACCAGCTTTTTCCCCCATTTTCCATTTTCCATTTCCCCACTGCCACTGCCATTGTCATCGGCGGCAAGTGCACGAAAATTAGCTGGTATTGGATGCTTGACAATAAAATTGACATTCGGTTCGACAACGAGTTGAGAATGCCACCCCTTCTCCTCTGCTTTTTCCGAGTGAATAATGCAATTCGTTTTTCGCCATTACCGCCCCCTCGTTCGCCCTTTGTTGTTTGCCGTTTTGCGTTCTGTTTTTTAATCGATTGATTGAAATGTTTGCTGCAAATTGATTGATGGCATGCAGCCAGCCATGTTCCCATGTATGTATGTATGTGTGTATGGTGGCCATATGCCAAGGCGGGGAATATGTATATTTTAAATTGATATAGCCATCAGATGGCAGTTGAGTGCGGTGGGGGTGGGGATGGGTCCAAGGAAATATGAAAAATAAACTGCAGAGCAACCTCAAGTGTCTTTAAAACTCATTGTACGAGTATCTATAAATAATAACTCCGTGATTGCAGGGCATTCGTCAGTCGGCATGCGTCTAAAAAATGCTTATATGTTCTGGGTTTACTTTTTCAGGCATTACTGGATTTGTAAAGAGATTTGACATGTTAAAAACTTGATTGATTGATTCGCTTAGCTCAAATACACGCTGCTACATTTTCTCACACACAAGTACGGATGTGTCTATATTTAGGGGGGCTTACGGCCTGTCTTACACGCCACTTACAAGCTGACATGTGGGCCAATTTATCAAGGGGAAAGCGAAGTAATTACTTACCGATCCACGGCAATGGCCACCAGATGCAAAATCGAGGCTGTGCAGCAGAGGACATCGCACGAGGTCCAGATATCGCACAATTCGGGGCCAAGTATCCAACCCTGGCTAATCTGTGAGCATGAAAGGAAAGGGAGAGTGAAAGGGAAAGAGGTGGTCATAAAGCTGGTTAGTCAAATAGACAGTAAAAGTTGATGGCTTATTAAATTTGATGCTACCCCAAGTATGGAGTGTAAAATGTAATGGCTTCTAATAACAAAGCAAACAAGGGTTGGCAGGGCTTTATAAAGGGTCAGTCCTCGAACGATGGGGTCAAATTCGAAAAGCAGCCATGGTGAGTCGCTTCTTCATACGGAACTTTATCCTTTGTGGCCTCATAGCCAGCTGCCAACTGCGGATTCCAGTCGGCGAGGTAGAGATCCACTTGGACAACGAAATTCGTTACTTACTCCAACTGATCGACTCAATGAGAAGTTTCTTCGGAGTTTACTGTGTAATCACATATACAGGTCACATCGATCTGAGGCCTTCGCTCCAGCAGATGATTATGGATAACTTGTCATTACCGATTTTTAACGTTGGTTCCGATCTCGGACCGGTTAATCACCATTATCTGAAGGCTGAAAATTTGGTGATTGCTTTTTTTACTGGCCTGAACGATCCAACTCTGGCCGCTCTTAACGACAAGGAGCTTGGCCATGACAGAGTGTTTTTAATCCTTCTTCACGTTTTGCCGCCAAATACTAAGGAGCTCTTCACAGCGGATTCTATTCGGGAATTATTCAACTGGTGCTGGGATCACTCCATAGATCGCATAATGCTTATTATTCGAGGCGAGAAAAAGATCGAATTATGGTCTTTTTATCATTTAGATGAAATGATCATATTTCAAATCGAAAGTTCTAAACCGTTTTTGGAAAATATTCGAAGGCATAACTACAGATTTGTCGTTCAAGTTGTCAATGATCCTCCAGCTGTTTTTTGGGTGAGCTCAATTACACTGTGTTACAAAACTAATGCTTTATTTATTTACCTCGGTGGATGCATCAAAATCGTGTTCTTATCGAATTCCAAATTTAAACTGTCCTCGCCAAAAAATTCGCCCACGCAAGGATTCTGAGAAGAAGGATCTCAAAAATTGAAAAATTCTACTTTTTAACCTATTTTACAGCCGACGGATTCTTGTTTTCTTATGCAGTCTAAACATTTTAATAGTGCAAAATATTTATACAAAATAATTTTATGATTTTTTTAAGGAATTGAATCCGAAAAAAGACATATCCGTTTTTTTACCTATAAATTATTTTAAAAATGGCATAAAAAAAGATATATGACTTCTTTCCCTTATAATTTGAACACAAATTTTAAAAATATTATAAATTCGTTTGCCTGAAAGTTGGCCAATTTCGTAATTTTTCGAACTTTTAGGTCTTTTTCTCAAAATCCTTAACTCGGGGAAGTTTTCGGTGAACGCAGCTCAAATTTCGGATTCGAACAGAATTAAATTTATCATAGTGTTATCTGTTTTATATATGATAAAACCACCTTATGATAAAACGCTTAACATATAGTTTATAGTTTCTACACCCAAAAAATATAGTCATCACTGTGCCCATATTTAACATTTTTTTCTTAATTTTAAAAACTTTTTACCTAATAATTGAATAATAACTCTACAATTAAAATTACAACTGTTTCTTCCTGTATTTTGTAGTTTCAAAAATACATTCTAAGCTGTAGATCAACTGGATTTAGAGTTTATAGAGTGTCTGCTCCATAATCTGTGGATCGCAGATTTTATAGAGAAATAAATATTATAAAATATGAACTATTGTAGGGGTATGATGTATGTCCCTATTAATGAAATACCACACAGTAGAATATATGTTTACACAAAATAGTTTATAGTTTTATTTTATTTCACAAATTTTATCTGGTCAGGATCACTGCTGGCATTCAACTAACTTCGCTCTCAGTTCACGACTCTAACCAACCCCCGACTCTCTGAGAGAGTGAGTGTGGTGAGATCGCAAGAGAGAGAGTAAGCTCTACAACAACAACAACGTACTCTAAGAATATTCAGGAATGTTCTAGAAGGAATACAATAACTTATATATACATACATACTACTACGTAGCCATCCTGCTACAATTCGGCCGTCCTGACATTTCAAGATCCCCTGATCTTGGTTTAATTTACAATTGATTTCATCTAAAATTATCTTACATACTATCAATCTTTAGATTTACAATTCTTTGGATATATTTACAGCTATTTTCGTTTACCAATCCAATGCTTAATATTTTGACTACTCCAGACTCCTTGATAAGGGCAACGCGACAATTGAAAACCTTCCACATCTTTTATTACATACCTATCATTTCTCAAAACTTTATCTATAACATAAGGACCCTTGTGTTTGGGTATTAGCTTCCTTGCGACTCCTACTGCATTATCGAAATTTTTCACCATAATATAATCTCCAACTTTGTACTCTAAACTATCCTTCCTTTTTTCATTGTATCTTCTTTCGTTGTCATTTTGTAATTTGATTTGCGATTCCACTCCATTTTTCCTAATTTTGTCTAAATCTCTAACATCACTAACATTATCTAATTCTTCTAACTTTTGCCTCAATTCATCAATAACTTTTCCTTTCTGTTCGATTCCAAACAACATTTTACTCGGCATTTGTGCAATGCTTCTTTGCTTTGTATTGTTCAATGAAAATTCAACGTCCTCAACAACTGTATCCCAATGCAGTCCTTTTTCCGGATCTGCTAATTTAGCTATCATTGGCCCAATTATTCTATTAATTCTTTCCACCTGCCCATTGGCCTGAGGTGACTCAGTCGCAATTTTTACGTGCTTAATATTATATTCTTCGACAAATCTTCCAAACTCTTCCGATGTAAAACAGCTTCCTCTGTCCGAAACGATACATGTTGGCCTGCTGTACGACCTAAAATAATCTTTCATTGCTATAATAACTTCTTTTGTGTTCGTCGTCTTTGTTGCATACAGCCTAACGTATTTAGTAAAACCGTCTATCACCACAAACAAATGTTTCTTTGATCTTCCATTATCAACCGGTCCGTAATGATCGATATTTATAATTTCGAATGGCACATTTCCTTTTGGTATGCTGTGCAACATTCCTTCCCCTTTTCCTGACTTTGGCGAATATGCCACACATCTCAAACAATTATCAATATGTCTAACAACTTTTTCTTTCATATTCGGAAACCAATACGTCCTAACAATAGCATCCATAACCTTGTCTCGTCCTAAATGACCTAATTCATTGTGATATTTGTATAATATCTTGTCCTCCATTTCTCCTGGCACACAGAATAACAATTTCCCATCATTTGATTTTCTATAAATAACTCCATTTCTCATCTCAAACATTTTATCTTCCTCTTTTTCTAACTTTTTCCTAACATCTTTCAACTTTTCATCTTTCGCTTGACAAATAATTAAATTGTCTTCAAAACTATTCGTTTCTACTACCAGTATATTCGTATTCCTACTTAACGCGTCTACGTGTTGCATAAGTTTTCCCGATTTATGAACTAACTCAAAGTCATACTCAAGCAATTCTAATGCCCATCGTGCAATTCGAGGGTTTAACTCAATCCTATTTAATGTTAACGTCAGTGAGTTACAATCAGTAACTATTCTAAATCGTCTACCCTGCACATAAATTCTAAATCTTCGTAGAGCATAAATTATTGCTAACGTTTCAAGTTCAAAACTGTGATATTTTGCCTCGTCTTTTGTTGTGGCCTTTGAAAAATAAAAAATAGGGTGCAACTTTTTATCCTCTTTCCTTTGTAGTAAGACCGCTCCAAAACCTTGTGCGCTTGCATCTGTATGCAATTCTATCTCGTCTTTATAATAATATAATCCTAACACTGGCGCTTCAACTAACATTTTCTTAAGCATCTCAAAACATTGTAGTTCCCTTTCTTCAAATGCAAACTCTTTATCTTTCTTTAACAGGTCATATAATGGTTTTGCGATCATCGAAAAATTCTTAATGAATCTCCTAAAATACGAACATAAACCTAAAAAGCTTCTAACACCATGTACTTTATCTGGAACAGGGAAATCTCTAACAGCTTCTATTCCTTTATCATTAGCTTGTATTCCCTTGCTGGTTACTAAAAAACCTAAATATTGTACACTTGCTTGTAAAAACTCACATTTGTCCATTCTCAATTCTAGTTTGTTTCTTGCTAAACGATCAAAAACTTCCCTAAGAACATTTAAATGTTCCTGTATCTCTTTACTGGCGATCATAATGTCGTCCATATATATTACTACCTTACCATCCCTAATCATGTCCGCAAAAATTGTATTAATAAATCTCTGAAACACCGCAGGAGCGTTTTTAAGCCCCATTGGCATCCGCATAAATTCAAATTGTCCTAATGGCGTCATAAATGAAGTATATTTTATTGAGTCCTTATCCACAAATACATGAAAGTAGCCATGTTTTAAATCTAATTTCGAAAATATTGTTTTATTTACTAAAGTGTCTAACAAATCGTCAATTAAAGGTAAAGGATAGTTATCTTTAACCATTGTCTTATTAAGTTTTCGATAATCCACACATAGTCGTAAGTCGCCTGTTTTCTTTTTTACTAACACTATTGGAGATGCGTACTCCGATTGACTTGGTCTTATAATTCCCTCGTTTAAGTATTGATCTAATATAACCTGTAACTTTTCTTTTTCTGTATAAGCTAAACGTCTGGGCGAACAACTAAAAGGTTTAGAATCCTCTAATCTTAATTTTATTTCACATCTAACTTCGGGTTCCTTTGGTCTTTGTTTATTTACATAACAGCTTTCTACCATTTTAATAAAATGACGCCTAACATTATAATTCACTTCATTGCCAATTTTGTAATCTGGACTTTCATCTGTAATATTAATATCAAACAATTCCCTTGCCACTAGATCTATTTCATTGCTATTCCTAACTATTTCTTTATCTGTAACTTTACTAACATTTCTAATCATCTGCCTATTGTCGCTAATTTTATCACTAACATTGCTAACTATCTGGTTTTCATGACTAACAATATCACTAACAATCTGATTTTCTTCTCTAACATTTCTAACAATATCACTAACATTTGGAGGATTTTCAATGTTCTCAACCGTAACCATTTTCAAAGTGTCGAGGTTTAAATTAATATTACATGCTTCCATAAAATCTCTTCCAAGGACTACATCATGACTCATAGATTTGTTTGCCACAATAACTAAATGAAAATGAATTTTATTTAAATTCTTCATAACATAACACAATATTTTGCCATAGGTTTCTAAGTAACTCTTATTTAATCCATGATATAAATTTAAAACTGGTAATTTGCAAACATTTTCTGGTACTTTTGATATTTTAATAAATGAAATCGGGCTCCCTGTATCTATGAGACATTCTGTAGTTAACTTGGTATTAATATCATTCATAAAATTGATTTCAACGTATCTTACATAATTATTATTGCCTGTGTTCTTATTTTTGCTCTTCAAACACGTCGCCACAAAATGTCCCATCTCGCCGCACGCATAGCACGATCCTTTCTCCCGTTTTGACTTTCTGCACTCGTTCGCCCAATGCCCTTTGGCATTGCAATTGAAACATCGTGTCTCCTTCTTGTCCTTGAAGTCCAATGATGTCATCGGTTTTCCAACAGATTTCGGCAATCTAACATCGGCAAATGCTCGCTTTATGTGCCCAACATCCACAAAGCTTTGAATGTGCGCCAGATTGCGCAGCCCTTGATTTGTAATACCTTCGATGATGCAGCTCAACATTTCATCTCCATCAATATTAATGCCCTGAGCAAGCATTATCTTGTCGTCAACATAACTCCCGAACGTCTCGCCTGCACTCCATTTGCGATGCTCAAATTTGCGCCTTATCCCCAGCTTTGATGATTTTTCGCCAAACATTGCGATCAGCTCAGCCGTTAATTCCTCCAATGGTAACAAAACACGCCCAGCATTTGCGTGCAACCAAACATTAGCCTTTAATTTTGCTAATCATCAACATTTTTATATAATTTCCGGTTATACCGTAGATGCTTGCGATATTATATATCCGAGTGATCCATTTGCGCGCACATGATTCGCCCGCAAACTCACACAACACTTGCGTAGCCATTCTCAAAGAAATGTCTATACTTTGATTAAAATTGTTCTCCATCTTTTCTTTCTCTCCAGCTTGGTTCTGCATGTTCACTTCTGCACAGTTTCGATTTCTGCCTCCACCTTTGTTCTGTTTGCCGTCTCTTTCGTAGCTTCTTTCACCTCTTGTTTCCTCGCCAGCTTCGCTTTCGTTTTCTCCATCTTCGCGTATATATTCCCGAACTTTTTCACCGTCTTCGCCTTTGTCGTTCTTTTCGCCAACTTTGTTCTTGCCTTCTCCATCTTCGCTATTAATTTCGTCGCCTTCTTCTACTTCGTAATCCTCTTTACCGTCGTCTTCGTTGTTACTTTTGCCGCCGTCTTCTTCCTCGAAATTCTCGATGCCGCCGTCTTTGCAGTTACTTCTATCGCCGTCTCGTTCTTGGAATTTCTCTTTGCCTCCGTCTTCTCCTTTACTTCTTTCGCCGTCTCGGTTCTCCTTCATTTCGTTAAACTTATTGCGTTTTTCGCTCGGTAATTTGTTTAAACGTAAAATCAACTCCCTGTTTTGAACCAGTCGTTGAACATTTTAATACACTTAACCATATTTTTAATTGTTTTATCGATACTTTGTTCAAATCCATTTTGTTTTATTAAATTGTTTCACTTTCTTAGTTTTTAAACTTGTAGTTTTTAATTTGTTTGGCACGTGATCGGCCCACTTCTGATTTTGTAGGGGTATGATGTATGTCCCTATTAATGAAATACCACACAGTAGAATATATGTTTACACAAAATAGTTTATAGTTTTATTTTATTTCACAAATTTTATCTGGTCAGGATCACTGCTGGCATTCAACTAACTTCGCTCTCAGTTCACGACTCTAACCAACCCCCGACTCTCTGAGAGAGTGAGTGTGGTGAGATCGCAAGAGAGAGAGTAAGCTCTACAACAACAACAACGTACTCTAAGAATATTCAGGAATGTTCTAGAAGGAATACAATAACTTATATATACATACATACTACTACGTAGCCATCCTGCTACACTATATCAAATAAAAACACCTCTTAACGAGGTAAAAAACTAGTGACGACCGCACCTTCAACATACAAAAGTTCTGATATCAACATTTGTGACGAAAAATTATTACACTCGTCTTTAAATAGACTTTCTAATATTTTCTCATTCGGCCCGCCCTAGCAAACTATTCCAGCATTTTTCCCTTCACAGGCATTTTCTATTGCAGCGTGCCGAATGAGAAAATATTAGAAAGTCTATTTAATGACGAGTGTAATAATTTTTCGTCACAAATGTTGATATCAGAACTTTTTGTATGTTGAAGGTGCGGTCGTCACTAGTTTTTTACCTCGTTAAGAGGTGTTTTTATTTGATATCAGAAGTTTTTGTTTGTTTACATTTGCTCTCATAGGAGCTAATATATACATTTAAATTTAAATTGGTCAATCATAATTTTTAAACTATTGTATTTTAACAAATTAAGTTAAAAAGGCGTTGAAGTATTTCAAAATACCTTTTAAACGAGGTATAGCACATGTCTGTACCTTTAGTAGTGTAGAACTTACAAACTAACGAAATTTAGCTATTTTTAGCTTTTTCCCGCTAAAGTAGCGGCTTTTTCCAAAAGTCGTAGAACAAAAGATTCCTATATGGAACTCTTAAGTGCAAATTTACTGATTCCATGACCCTAAAATACAGTTCGGATACCCTCCCACAAAATTCAATACTCAGGGAGCGTTAATTGTTCGAGCTGGCAAAAGTGGCTATTTTCGTATAAAAATAACTTTTAAACGTGACTTTTTACAGTAATGTGTTATATACCAAAATTTAAGGAATCTCAAGGGCTATACAGTTTAAGGTTTTAAAGAAAATCGTTAGAGCCGTTTTTGAGAAAAATAAAAAAAAGCTAAAAAAAAGTTTTAAAAAATTGTCTTTTGTTCATATTTTTTTAATTATTACATTTACACAAATTGCATATAGAAGGCGTTTATAGCATTTAAAAATACCTTTCAAACGAGATGCAGCACAAGTCTGTAGCTTTAGTAGTATAGAAGTTACGGCTTTCCGATTTTTAGCTATTTATAGCTGTTTTCCCGCTAAACTAGCGAGTTTTTCCAAAAGTGGTAGAACAAAAGTTTTTTATATCGATGTGATGAACGTCATATAAAATTTTCAAAACTTAAAAAACATGTTTTGGACAAACTGACAAACTGACAAACTGACAAACTGACAAACTGACAAACTGACAAACTGACAAACAGAATTAAATTTTCATTTTGGGAAGACGAAGAAAATCTTATTTTGGCTATAACTTTTGAACGGAGCGTCGGATTTTGACAAACGACCCCTCATTCGACGGGTATTTTCAAAAGGAATACAAGTAAAATATTGCGAGGGGGCAATTATCCCCACCGGCCCCAACAGCTCCAAATTTCGAAATTTTCACTTTTTCACTTTCACCGCTCTCTCTCCCAAGCCAATTGATTTTCTTAGAGTCTTGGTATGCAATCCTGTTAGTTTTTGCAATACCTTTCGATAGGTGTATCATTCATTATGATCGGACCATCACAGTAGATTTTCATTTCTTCGTGTATATATAGTAGTCGCCTTCGCACACTCTCCTGGTGCGCTTCGTCACTACATGGACTGCCGTCCATAGTGATAACTCTTTTCAAACTGAATTAATACAAGACTAATATCGCTTTTTTAATAATTTTTTTTTCTATCTAATTCAATTTTATTTTATTTGCAGTACAACTCTTCGGAACAAGCAAATGTGACTGGCGGGGACAATATAAGTTTGTCCGGCCCCATCGGTGTGATGATTGTGGATTTTATGCGTCACCTGAATGTGACCATGGACATTATTCCGAGTGCGGGGCACCAGACATCTAAGTATGAGATCTTTCGACAGCCAGATGATCGGAGAGTAGATGTCGTGGCCAATATGGTGTATGGCGACCACCTCCATTTCAGCCCCATAGTGGCGGACTCACAGATCTGTGTGGTGGTGTCCAATCGAAGGATGATTCCTCCGAGCAGATTCATGGACGAAGTTATAAGCCTCTGTGTTCACCGACTCACGTGTCTTGCCAGCATTGGCATATTCCTTGTCAAGTACTTCTCCCAACGCCGACGATCATTTCTGGACCCGATCTTCAATACCATTCGATTTTACGTAGCTATTCCGCTGCCCAATGGTCGTCTCGAACGATTGCCCATAGCGGACAAGATATTAGAGGTATTTGTTTTTTTTTTCGTAGGACTTCTGGTGAGTTCGAATGTATCGGTACTGTCCACTGCATTTACAGCGGGTATTTTCAAATCTGCGATCACAAACGCCGAAACGTTGCGAGCTAGTGGTCTAAAGATAATGACAGACGATCCAACAATACCGTTGGCATTTGATGATGATCTTTTGCCAAGCTCACTGGCGGATCGGGTATTTCTTGTGGACTTTCCGACTATGTTTCACCACATTCTCACCCTTAACGACAGTTACGCATATGTGGTGAAAACGCCCAATTGGCAATCACTTCGACTCTATCAGCAGCGTCTGAAGACCGAGATCTTACGGATTGTTGGGGGAGACCTCTGCTCCAAGAGCCGACCTATGCGAGTCCCCATTAATCCAAGATCGCCGTTGCGGTTTCTTTTCAAAGACTATTTCCATATGGTTTTCGAGTCAGGTCTTCAACAGAAATGGATTCGGATGGGTTTTGAAAAGTTCCGTGAAATTAGGATCCAAACCAATTTGCCCACAGACATTAATGTGAACTGGAGACCGCTGACAATCGAATATTTTGCATATTTTATTAAATTATACATAGGCGGAATGGTTATCAGCACAATGGCATTCGGTATTGAAATGCTCTATAACAGATATAGAAGCTAAAATATATTAACAAAAATGTGGATATATTAACAAACCAAAATTTGATAATTTTGTTTTTATGATAATAATGTCTAATGTTTAAAGCATTTTTGCGACTCAGCAACCCATATTATAACCCATATTAATGTTATAGACATATTTCTTACTAATGATCGCTTGTGAATGTGTGCCTTTTTGAAAATCGATGATAAATAAATACAGCACCGCTTGTGCTTTTTTCGGTCACCCCTTACTTACCTCGTAAACAGCTCCGAGGGGCATTACTAGGCAGGCCACGAAGAGATCGGCGACGGCCAAGGAGGCCACCAGGTAGTTGGCCACGTTCTGCAGATTTCGCTCCAGAATAATGGCCGCAATGACGAAGACATTGCCTGCAATGATCAATGAAAGTTCAACTCAATCAAATGAATAGCACAGAATGCGGGGGTTGGTTTTTTGGTTTCGATTTTTATACGTGCAGGGCTTTTAGCAGCAGCCTAATTGCGAAAATTGACTTGAGACAAAAAGTTTTCGATTCAATTCGAGCTGCAGCTGATGACTGAAAGCGAACCGAGAACCGCAGCAGAACAGATAAAGTTTTTGGGAATTGGCAAACTTCTTTGGACGCACGAGGAACGAAAACCGAGAACCGGGACACCAATGAAATGGGAATCTTATTAAGCTCGTCCCCTCAGCATTGCACTGTTGCAATTCCAGTTGCACTTGAGCTGGCAGACAAAGACAAAGTTCACAAAAGCCAAAATAAACGACATGAGCTAATCGCGCTGTCGTAAACTTTGCCAAAAGCCCCAGATGAGGACGAAGGGTGTGAAATTGACGTGGGGGAATGCTCGAGGGACTCGGGTGAGGACACCACCTTTGATGTCTGCTGGTGCGCTTATTTTTTCTTGACTTTTTTCGACTTTTCCCCACTACCCACCCGCCATTTTTCCGCTACTGTCACCGACTACTTGTGGTGCACTTGAGGCTGCAAAGGAAAGGCAGCCACTACAGGTGCGAGACATGCAATTTGTGGCATTGAATATGCCGACAGTCGAGGGCAGGAGGGCTCGCACACGCTCACAGGACCCGCCTGGAGGCACACAGATACGCAAAATATACACACACCCACACACACCAGGCACATGCAATTAGATACTTGAGTGTCAAAGTGAAGGCAAGTAGACAAGCCTCATGCCTGCCAGCTGTTTTTTGCGTTTTTAAGTTCCATGCAGTGTCTTCTTCGCCACAGGGGTCGCTCAAGCAAATGCATCCCAAGAAGATTCATGGTGTTATAATTTTATTATTGTACCAAATGGGAAAAAAAGGTATAGGAATTTAGACCAAATTTAGCGATTACCTTTTTTTTAGCATTTCTGATTGATAAGTTTAAATAATCCTTTATTTAAAACAAATGATTTTGTTTATTGAAATTTATAAATTCCCTACATACGTATAAAAGAAAACCTCAAAACAAAGGTTGAATAACGAGGATTAAAAAGGATACTTTGGTATTATTAAATGATATTCAAATAATTAAAGATTGTAAAAAACCAACAGTTTCGGTTAGTTTACGAATTTTGAACTTAAATTTTAAAATGTCAATATTTTTCACATTGATTCAAATATATTTTTAATTTAATAATGCAATTTAATTTTAGACATCTGCATGAATAACAAAAAATACATATTCGAATTGACAATGTTCAAAATGAGTTGAATGAGTTGGAATGTGTAGGAAAACTGGCTTGAATAAATAAGTGTACTGACGTAAAACTCAGTCGAACCAGAAATGGTGATGGAAAACGAATCGAGTAAATGAGTACACGAACAACTCAGACGAATTTATTCGAATCCATTCGAGTTCTTACATGACGTCATAAGGGCAAAATGGAAAATTAAATTTGTTTTGAAATACTTACATAAATATTTGGCTTTTTGTCTTTTTTTAAAATTACAAATCTACCTTTAGTTTTAGCTCGCCACTGAATCCAACCATGCCATTTTCATATTTAAATCCTAAGAATTCGCGGACCAAGGAGGAGAAGTATAAAATAGTGTAGTGAAGAGGCAGAAAGGAATGGTCTTCCTTCTACCGCAAATCCTAAGAATTCGCGGACCAAGGAGGAGAAGTATAAAATAGTGTAGTGAAGAGGCAGAAAGGAATGGTCTTCCTTCTACCGCAAATCCTAAGAATTCGCGGACCAAGGAGGAGAAGTACAAAATAGTGTAGTGAAGAGGCAGAATGGAATGGTCTTCCTTGGACCGCAACTTCTTAAGAATTTATCTAACAAACTCCAGGATGACAATACTAAGAAGTCGCGGTCCAAGGAAGACCATTCCTTTCTTTATCTGTGGCGATAGAGGCAAATTTTTTGGTTCTGGGATATGTTCATAAAACTAATTGTTTTTCCATATTTTTTTTTAATTCTCGTGGATTTTTGCATGTGTTTTGAGTTTAAACTAAGGGGAGCTTGGTAATTTCGAAAATAAGAAATCATAAAAATACTTATTTATAGACATACATATATGTATATCAAAACAAATTTAATTTTCTATTTTGCCCTTATGACGTCATATAAGAAAATCGAATGGATTCGAATAACTCGAATGATTTCAGCCTATTCAAATATGACATTCTGTTTTTCGTTATCACTCGTTTAACTCTAGGCCTTTTCTGTCATACTCTATACGGACCAAGATGCAATCCATTCTAGTCATAGTGTGCTGAGCATTTACTCAACTCTATTCTATTCGAATGGAATCATTTCAAAGCCTGTTTGATTCCAGTCATGCAGATGTCTATTTAATTTGTTTTGTTTTTTTCAAATATGTAATACGTATTTTTGAATTAAATATACAAATATTTATTGTTACTATTCAAATTTTTTCATGGAGGCAATATATTTCTAAAACGACTAGCAGTAAACATGTTTCAAAATTTTAAAGCACCTTACTATTTAATAAATTCTATCCTTAAAGACTCGACCAAATCAGTTTAAAAACGAATAATAAGTAGGTCAAAAAATACTACCATTAAATTCGTACACTTTTGGGCACTCTCAGCGCTCGACATTTGGTTCCGGGTACTTTTTATTATTTTTCTGCTGTTGAGTGACCAAAAGCGTGAAGCAATCTAGCTAAAATTAGCATTGAAACTCATTAGCATTTTCTTTTTAAATGCTAAATGCTGCTGCCGTCCCACTTGGCCGGCGACAAAAACTAAAGAAGTTCAAAAGCGAGACGCTGAGTTTGAAGAAAAGAAAACTAAGAGTGGGATGGGGAAGAAAGAAAGGCCGGCGGAAGAGGAAAAACTAAATAAACACAAATTAGTGGAAAATCAAAATGAGAGGAGGCGAGGGGAGGGGAAGTGAGACATGTGAATGGGCTTCGGGCCAATTCAGTCCGGAATCCGGATCCTTTGGGACTGGCGCTTAAAATCGTAGCATACTTTTCAGCGCTCGTTATTTTTATTTGCCTCTTGACTTTTGTGCTGCCCGTTTTAAATGAAATGAAATGAAATGAAATCTACTTAAATTAATGAAATCACTTTCAGCCGGCTGCTCTGCTTATTTTGCTTCCTCGCCTCATTTTCATTTGTTACTGCCTGATTTTTATACGTTTTGTTTTGGATTTTACAACGTGAACATAAAGTTTTTCGCTGGAATTGGATTGAGTTGGGCGGGGAAGGGGAACAGTGATTGATTGATTGACTGTCAATTTTAATGCGGCATGTCTTTGCCTAGATGGATGCCGGTTTGTTTGCCATCGGATTTATGGCTAAATGCGTGTAATGAATGTAGCCAACAACAAAAGCGGCCCCATTCCCAATGCGAACGGCCCCTCTCATTCCATTTCCAGTTCCAGTTCGTTCCTCGTCATTGAGCTGCCTTATTAATAACTGAGACTGAGCCGATGCTGCTGCCTCAGCATCTGAGCCATAATAACAACAATAATAAATAATATAAAATGCCCTGCCAGTATCATAAATATCAGTTACGCGTATTTTATTATCTACAACTGAAGCCGAGGCACCGAGGCCCCCACCGAGTCCCTCTGGGTCCTCCTTATTGAATTGTTTGCCATATTCCCCAAGGATTTGGAGGCAGGCAGCAGGCGCGTGCCTGAGACTGGCATTCGAGGAATTTATTTCGGGTGGTTCTTTCGGCTGGGAAACCGGCTGAAATAATTATGTCTATGTTTGGGCATCGGCTTACACTTAAAACAATGTTTAAAGGGAATTTAAAGTTTGGTTTATATTTAAATTGGAAAATTAATATATTTTTATACATTTCGTATATGCTTTATTTTATTTTTTTTTATTTCAAAAAGATTAAAAAATAAAATACTCAAACATACACAGATAAAATACGATTTCTTAAAATAATGGATGAAACATTTAATTATCTTCGTACGCCCTTTAAAAAATTATGAAATGAATGGCCACACTTTAGATATGCAAATGTTGATTCAAAAACACAAGTTTTAAAACAACACTTTTGCCAGTGTAGCTCCCGGTTTTTCGGCTTTCAGTGAGTACTTACCAATTATGGTGACCAGTATCATCAGGCCGAGCAGCACCGATGTGACGGCCATGCGAAGCAGCTGCGTGAAATCGTCCTCGGCCACCTTGCTGGTGGTCACATTGAGGCCGGCACTGCCGTTGGTCAGGTCCAGATGGCCACTCCGGTTCAGCATCATCTCCCCGAACAAACTCGAGTCGTTTGACTCCAACAGGAGCGTGTCATTCAGCAGCATGGCGCCCAGGCCGACGGCTACATTCGTGTAATTATTGTCCATGTCGATCAGTTGGAGGGCTGGCGAGGATGCTGCCTCAGCCTGCTTGGAGATCAGGGCCCTGGCAGCCGCTTTGGCCGTTATCCTGGCAGCCGTTGCTGCCACCGAGGCACTGGCTGCTACGGCGGCCAAAGCGGCGGTGGCCAGCGGTGAGCCGGCATCGGTGGTGGTGGTCGCATCGGTGGGCAGTGGTTTAAGCGCCGGGGAGCCAACAAAGTCCGCTCGTCTCTTCGCGGAGCTGTAGTAGCGCTTGCTGTTGTTGTTGTTATTCGTGTCCTCCAGCTGTTCCTCCTCCGGAGCCATGTCCTCCAGCTCCTCCTCCTCGGCGTCCTCGGCATCCGGCTCCTGACCATCGGTACTCTGCTGTTCGGGATGTGGTTCGGCTATCAGAAAAGCCCTGTCATTTACGCTATTCGCTATGTAAATGTAGTCGAGCGCATCTAAATTGGGGAGTAAAAGAGAAAGATTGGCATGATTTCCTGATTACAAACAAGGGGAAAATGTAACACAAGCTAAATTGGAATTGAATTTGAAATATAATAGATTGGGAAATTCAATCGATTTTGGCTAGAAAAAATGTAATATAAATTATAAAGATTCAAGGGGCTTATAACTTCCAAAAAGAAAACAAACTAAATTTGAGTGGAATTGAAATAGAATAGGTTGGGAAATTCAATCGATATAATAATTAAAATAATTATTAAAATAATTATAAAACTTTAAAAACCTTAAAATTAAAAAAAAGATAAATAGCTTCCCTTTTGGTTTATTTAAATTTAAAAATCAAGACAATAAAGAAATACACAGTTCACTAGGAATATATTCCCCCCAAATTATTTTAATAGGTACTTAAAACATTTAAGTTTCCTATCCCAAAATAAAATTTAATAAGGCAACCGCTTGGTTATGGAAAATATGGATTTAATGACCTAAGTAAACGCTACATTGGCCATGGGTACCCACCATTAAAGCTGGTCTCGTGCGCCATTTTGTGGATATTCGGTGTGTTTTTGGGATGCTTCGCTTCGCTTAATTGCAGCCGCAGCGGAAATGAGGAGTAGACGGAAACGGAAGCGCGACTATGCAACGGCGATGGCGATGGCGATGGCAATGGCAATGGCCTGCTGGCGCATGTGTGCGTCTGTGTGGGTGGTTGGGTGCTTGGGGTGGTGCCGTTGTTTAAGCTGGCGGCCACTCAGACACGCGGGACGGCGCATGGTGACACTTTCCCTACTTTCACCGCTTTCCCCGCTTTCCCCGCTTTCCCCGGTGCTCTGTGTTTTTGTGCCAGCGTGTGCTTGGTGCCGGGCAGGATGTATTATCCTAACGAGCTTTCAAGTGTTTACACGGAGCGTTTACAATTTCGGCTTTTGGCTTTCACTTTTCTTTCCGACTTCCTCTTATTTGTGCTCTTTTTTTCTTTTTAGATTTCTCTGTGTGGCAGTGTTGCTTTTGTGCCGTTGATTGTTGCCGACTTGGCTTTGTTGCTGCTGCTGCTTTGTACTCTTTTTTGGTTTACTTAAGCTCTTCCGTTTGCTGTCGTGTGTTTATGGCCCATTTGATGTGCTATTTTCATATCCTTGAAGTAAATTTCGCATCCGATTGCCTTCTGGTGTCTGCGTTCTGCAATGAAAATTCAATTAGACAATAAATTTCGGTACACAGGCTAACTAAAACTAATAAATAGCAAATTGAATTTCTGCGGCTGCCCTTTACTGATTCGGTTTTTTTTTGCGTTTGCCCCTCATGTTTGGTGGAAAATAATTTCCTGTGGGTCTGCGGCATTTTTGGCTGCGAAATTTATTGTATTCAATTTCCTTTCCGTATTGTGCGTAAAGTGTAAATGAATTTGAAATGCCACTGCCGCCGCTGCTGCTGCGCCCGCTTGTTAAATAATTTAACGCAATTTCTGCAATTACACGGAATCACTTGGCACGATAAATAAATATGAAGACTGGCAAGCCAGGCGTTGTTTTCTTTATTTTCTTTCTTTTTTTCCCCAGGCCTGCCACATACGCTCATACGCACACACACAAACGCATTCACGCACACAAGTTCATGTGTGGTTCTGTGTGTGACTGGCGGAAGTTTTGCGTGCGTGCGACAGGCGCCATTGCCAACGGCTCCTTTCGTCTTCCGCCCCCGCCACTTTTCTCCTCTCATTGTCCCAATGTTGCGACAGAGGCAGCAAAATAAATTTAAAACGCATAAAAATAAGAGCAAAGAGGGAAAACACCCAAGAGCGAAGCTGCCCTGGTAAAATGTCATCGCATTTAGTTACAAGTGTACGGCTACGACTATGGTCAACTAGGTAGTAATTACTCGTAAAACAAATAAAATTTCCAATGTTTACATTCTTAATGTCTACTCGGTATAACGTTGACCAAAGATTATAGTTTCAGAATAATTTTTATTGATTTTAAATTTTTTAACCTATTCAATTCATTGACCCACATTTGTGACCCTCCTTATCAATCCTGAATATAAATATATATGATAGACACAAAAAATTATGTTGAATTGGCTTATCAGAATTCTTGTAAACTACATTAATTTCGGTGAAAACTCTTGCAACCAATTTCGGGTCGACTATATAAAAATATAAACCCAGCGCCACAAATTTAAACAAATGATTTTGTATACTTTCTGGTACATTTTAAATTTATTAAAATTCTACATTTTAAAATTATTATTTTGCTGATATATTTTTTAGCACAACTGTGTGAGGGTGGCATGCGAGTTCATAGTATACATTGCGGCGCCATAAAACCCAAAGCGAGAATGTTGCATGTTTAAAGCCCACACAGCTTATACTACCAGGATCGCTCTCTTGGTTAGCAAAGGGTTATTGCCAACTTTCTGATATAATTTGTACTGGCCTAAAGGTAAATCAATAAGCTGGAATTACAATGATGAAACGGCGATAAAAGGGCTTTTAAATTATTTTATTTATTTATTTCTCTCTTTAACTGCAGATGAACGGGAAATATGTATTTTGACTTTCAACTTGCAGCACTAAAAAATGTTTACTGCTAATGTGCAATTAAACTACGGCTATCAACTTCTTGTCTCAAAGAGTCAGTTTTCAAAAAAGCGGATGTTTGAATTTTTTTAGTTCGGGGCCTATAAAAATTACAGATTTTTTATACTTTAAGGCCAATCTGTTTTTCTCTTTTTGAATCCGTTAACTTGCAAGGCAACCGCAACACAACCTAATTAAAGCTGCTTGAGTTGAGTTTGCAAGGATTTCTGTCAAAGGAGCTCCGCTAGTCGAGTGATTTGGTTACGAATACCACTTTTCCTTCTGAAATTGCACCTTTGCACCTAAAAGTACTTTTTCCATTTGACTTAATTACCAGCCACTTGCCTTAGCTTTTGTCTGACATATGTAAACGATTTCGTATCTGCAATTGAAATTCAGCTTGTGGGTGCAATTTCCCAAAAAAAGACAGCCAGATCTACAAAGAGGAAGCGCTTTTAATTCCTTTGAGAAGGAGACGAGTAAAGAGGCCTTATTACGCAACAACCTGGGGTTTCTCGACTGAAGAAGCCTTTCGATCTGGCTGCGTTCAGAAAGTTCCAACCAAAATAACCTTCAAATGCCAGCATGCGCTTTTGCGAGTGGCCGTGTAACTAACGTTTTCAAGTTCAAAGTCGATTTAATGCGGAAGTTTATGCCAGTCCACAAGTGTTCAAGGTAACTACAGGTGAACTTTTTTAAGTCAAACTTTTCTATAAATTCGCAAAGCCAATTTGAACTTTAATATTATACTGCTTTTCTATTTTAAACTGAATTAAGATGAAAATGAAAAATATTTGTAAAAAAGGAAAATGGATAATAAATAAACGGCTGCAAAGTTTTACAATCGAAGTTAAATGATCTAAAATTTCATAAACCAATATTTCATTTCATCATTTCTTTTTTATTTATTTAGGACTCACTGTAGTATTACACTGGGAATGCGATTTTAGAACCTGGGTAAGTGAGCTGGGCTCGTTTGAAGTGCAGTTGAGTGTGAAGACGACACATGTCGCTTAAATGCACACCCGGCCGCACCTGTCTGATCCCCCCCACTCCCCTCCCCATCCCTTTTGGACATGGTGAGTGCACTTGTTGCGGTTCGCAACTTGTCCGGCAGTCGCCTGCATACATTATGCAAGAGTATGCCAACTGTTTCTGTATCTATGTTGGTGTCAGCCGTGAGCGAGTGCGAGTGGAAGTGTGTGTGCGAATGTGAATGTCAGTCGCTTTTTATAGTCGGCCTTATCGCATATTTATGCAATGGGTCCTTTGAAGCAGCGGCACAGGACGCACAGGGCCATAAATCAATTTTGGTTCACCGCACTCTGCTCCTGACCATGTCCCCCTCCCACTCCCACTCATTCACATTCGCATCCGCATCGCAGCAATTACGAAAATTGCCTATCTATGCAATAGTTGTGGATGCCGCCTTTTACTGCGAAATAGTTCCCAGGCACTTGTTCTTTTTGCCTTCCTTGTTTACCCTGCCAAGCCATAAATCAAGCAAATAACTAAAAGCAGAGGGTTGCGGCTTCAGTTTAAACTAAACGCTAGTTGAAAGTCAAATTAAAATGCAAAATATTCATCTAACCCTTTAATTTCAAAGTGTGTCGATTTTTAAACTTTTGTTGTTACATATATTTTGCCCAACTAAAGTTTAGAGGGAAACAAGGTTTTATGTAACTTTATAAAATACAAATTTTATTTTTGCGCTTAAAATTTGAGACCGAATGGAAATTTTTTGTAGCAGAAATCCATTTTTTGTCAAATGTTATTTGATCTATTGCGAATCCCTTAAATAAAGCTTACTACTGAAATGAACCAAAGACACTAACAAAACGAGATCTGATATATATTTTTGTAAATTTTTTAATTTTTCTTTTATTTTTAATCCAAAAGTCCACCTTGATTTAAAAAGTCTAATATTCCAGGATATTCATGTTGATTTAAGTGAATATTGAAAAGCTCCCATTTCACTGACAAAATCGAATTTTCCCGATATCAGAGGATATGAAGAAAAAATATTTTAGGTTTTTCAACAGTTTTTATTTGATTTATTAATTTGTGCGAGAACTTTTCAATCTACCCCCTATGGTACATGACACAATCGTTGCATTTGTGTTGGTGATGCGAGGGTGGGAGTATGGCCCATCAAAGTGCAGTTTTCCGAATGCAAGCCAGAGCGATGTCTCATTGTTTGCCCCCTTGCCAATGCCAGCTGTTTGCTGTACGTGGAAAAAGGCTCAGGGAAAACGGATGTCGGCGGGGCAAACTAAAATAAAGTAAAATAAATGGCATACATTTTTCATGCGACGCTCGATTTCATTCACCGCAAACTCACACACCCGCAAAGAGTATGAGTATATGTGCAGTGTGTGTCTATGTGTGCATGTGTGTGTGTAGATTCAGACATGACCAGACATTTATCAGTTGCTCGCATGCATTCAAAAGATACTAATGTACATATTAGTTCAGCTCTGTAAGTGGCTGCCGACCGCCCTTCGACTTCCTTCGTGCAACTTTCTCGGCATTCCAAGTCCCACTTCCGGTTCCGCTTCGCCCCCCGCTTCTCAGTTGTTGTTGTTGGGTTCCTTTTTGCACCATTTCCGCTTCATTTCATGCGCCATTTTTCTCTATCTTTGCAGTCGAGTGTTTGCGCCTTGTTCCCATATCCTGAACGGCCTTTCATTGGCCTCCTCCATCCCGCCCCTTTTAGTTTTTCCTCTCGGCTTTTCCTCCACTCAATTTCCCAGCCCGCCTTTCACAGCTCTCGCTCTCTTTTGCGGTTGCAGCTGTTATGTATACGTATACAGCTTCAGCTTTGGCGTCAGTTGAATTGCTAGCCCAGTTTTGTTTCCCATTTTCCATTTACCATTTCCACATCCACAACCATTTTCCCTGCCCCGCCTGCAATTGCTTTTGCCAATCAGTCTGCTGCAAATAATTTATATCGCTCGAGTCTGTGTTGGCACCTTGGTTAACTCTTTGGCATGTTTTATGGCTCTTTTGGGTGTGCGTTTCACATAAATATTGCCCATACGCCGTGTTGACCATGCGAATTGCATTTGGCTTAGTTTGTTGTTGTTGCCATTAGTTTTTGTCGAGGGTCCTCCGCTAATTGCTCATTAATATTCAATTGCCAACAGCTTTTGTTCAATTATTTAAGCGCAAGCTTTTCAGCAGAGAAACAAATTGTCAGTCGCCCATCCTACAATCCCCTCCTTATCCCCATCCCCATCGCCATCCCCGCATTCCCCAGCCATGTTAAACAATGCAAACAAACGAGGACATAGGAAGTATGCAAATATTTAAATTCCAGCTTATTTCATGTTCTGAACGCGGGCGTGAAATAAATAACATTCAATGCATTTTTTATCCGGGCCAAAGCTGAAAAAATAGAACTTGAAACAAGTAAGCAAATGCAGGCGTGCAGAAGTCGAAAAGGGATACTCTACTTGGGGTAATTTCGCTTATATGATGCCTGTCTAAAAAGTTTAAAATTTTGATTTACTTAAATAGTCATTTTGTTGTTTTATTGGAAATTTCCTGATTTATTACGCAGTTATTACATTTTTGTTAGAGGCTAAAGTCCTTAATATTT